ATTTGATGTTCTAGGGTTTCAGGATTGTTGATTCTCTGTTTGGCTTAGTTTTTCGGATCTTTGTTGTGGAGGGACGGCGTGGTGCTTCTGCCTAGACCGCCATCTTGCCGGAGTCGCTCTATTTGCCCTTTTGTACTGTGGCAGTGAGGACTAATGCTGTTGATATGGGTCCCAACAAGTCTATACAGGAGTGTAAGGTACTCAGAGTCTGGGGACCCCTGATACCTGTGCCCAGCAAAGCAGCTGGGCCGATCCTGTGTTCCTGGCCTAGTAGAGCCAGCAGCTTATTTGTTCCCTCTCCAAGGCCAGGAGAATGGGTCATGGCACTTTTTGTGATCTACTTTTGGCCCAGCGGACTCCTGGTGCAGAATGCAGAAGGAGGAGGTAAAAAGGAGAGAGGTTTTTCCCAAATGAGCTTTTTTTTTTTTTTTTAATCCCCAGTGAAGGGTGCACACGCATGTACTTATCTTAGCCTCTTGGGAGCTGTTCTTCACTGGTTTGGAGTGTCCAAGCAGAATCTCTGCTGCTGGCTATTTCTCAATGTGGAAACTGCTGAGTGTGCGCACAGTGCAGCTCTTTGCCTGCTTCACCGCAGACTGGCGTGGCTGTGGCGCTGCAGTTTCACCACCGCGGCTCTGCCCCTCCTCACCTCTTCCAAACGGTCTCCCTCTCCCTTATCACTCAAATGGATTTCTCAACCTTGCCTTGCTCAGTGCTCCCAGATATTCACATAGAAACAAATCACTTGTTTTTCCAGGTCTTTGTTGTAAGAGGGATATAGGAAGTGTCTACTCTGCCATGTTGACCACGCCTCAACAAGTAAAAAATTAAAATATAAAATAAAATAAAAACAACAACAACAAAAACTACCATGATGGGGGTGCCAGTCAATGAGGGCAGGGTGAAACTGGGGTGGTGATGAGCTGCCGTCTCTTTCCCTGGGTGGCAAAGCACAACCCCTTAGGAAGGAACAGAGGCAGTGCAGGGCCTATCTGGGAGGGAGAATGAAAAGAAGATAAGATAAAGAAAAATATAAAACATGATTCTGAGGGAGCTCGCCTGTGGAGGCATCACAGATCTGGGGAGGCCTTGTGCTTGAGGCTCTCCAGCAGAGCAGTACAACACAGTCCACCAAGAAGTTGGGGGCTGCATACAGGGCTAGGTGGATGGGAGAAAGGAAGGGAAGGAAGGAAGAAAGAGAGATAGAAGGAACAATAAGCAAAAGAAAAAAAAGTCAGTCAACCAATAAATAAAATGACGTTGAGGGTGCTGTTCAGTGATGGCAGCACAGACCCAGGGAGGCTGAGTGTAGTGACTCTTCAACTGAACTGTGCAGCACAGCCCTTCTAGAAGGAAAAGCAGGAAAGGAGAGAGAGAGAAGAAACAGAAAAAAAGGAAAAAAAAAAAAAAAAAAAAGAAGAAAGGAAACAAACCAAAAAATCACAGCCTGTCAAGAAGGGGAAAGTATGGCACACAGTTCTAGCTGGGCAGGAGAAAGAAAAAGGCAGGAAGGGAAGAAAAAGAGAAGCAACAAAAAAATGCTCTATATATGTACATTTGTGTATATATATATATATCAAAAAGCAAACAAATAAACAAAACAAACAAAAAAAGAACAAAGCAAATAAAAATTACAGCCAGTCAAGAAGGTGAGGGATGGCACACAGGGTGAGTGGGGCAGGAGAAAGGAAATGAATGAAGGGAGAGAGAGAGAAGCAACCAAATAAATAAATAAAACATGCAAACAAACACAAAATGGCACTGAAGGAGCCAGCTGGTGGGGCTAGGACAGACCTTGGAAGCAATGAGTTAGTGTCTCTCCTGCTGAACAAGGATGGTCCCATGCAAAGCAGCAGATGCCATATTGAAGGAAGAAGGATAAGGGTGGGAAAGCGTGTTTCCCTTGTTACCAGGTGCTCTATCTCCTGTTGGGAACTCCATGAAGTTTCCTTCCTGTACTCCCTATCTGAATTCTATCCTAGCTTTAGCCCAAAATGTGGAATTCGGCCACATTAACTGGTATGGGACTTCCACTACATAGGTCTCCTCATTCACTGTTCTCTGTCAATTTCTTATTCCATTCAGTGCTTAATCTAGTTCTTTATTCATTCATTTGGTACTTAGAGTTCCAAGATTGATGTTTGTATCTGTTTTGCTTAGTTTTTCGGGTCTTCGCTGCAGAGGGACAGCATGGTGCTTCTGTCTATAGCCCCATATTGGCTCTGCCTCCAATATTCTACACTCTTTGTTCTTAAACATGGACTTTAGTTTCTGTATTTCTTTAAATATCAAGTTCTCCAGAATGGTTCATAAACTTACAAGTGTGAATAATCAACAAAATAGCCCCAGTGAAATATGAACATGCCATATTAGTACTTGGTAAGTATCTGAATGATACTTTAACATGTCAACATTAAACTTTGACAATTCAGAGTTAAGGCACATTTCTAGAATTTAATTTGTGGAAGAGCTCTAAGAGATCATCTAGTTCTAACTCTGTCATTGTATAGATTTAAGAAACTAATACCGAGAACTTAACTGACTTTTCTAAGATCACAATGTAATTTGCAGTCCTCAGAACTGCTCACACCTCAACACCTCCAGTAGAATGGCCCTCAGATCTAAACTGCCCTAATACTGTCCAGAATACCCAACACTGGAAAATGTTTGCCATTGTGCGTTCATGAATACCCCTACATTTACTTTAGCTATCTCCTTATATATGATTCCTGGTTGTTTACAGGAACTAATGTATCTCACAGGTCTATTTAATCTACAGGATCATTCATTTCCCTGTAGTGTGTATCCTTAACTTTCCATTTCTGCTATGATCTGTTCTAGAAGACAAGTCTAAGTTACCACTTATATACTATATGGAGTAAAGATTTTGTATGGGATTCTGTACATGTGCAAGGATTTGCATTTGGCAAATATGCTGCGATAGTACTCTTTAAAGTGTTGAGAAGCAAAGACATCACCTTGAAGACTATGATGAGACTGACCCACGCCATGGCGTTTTCAATGGCGTCATATGCAAACGAAAGCTGGACAATGACTAAGGACGACCAAGAATAATTGACGCCTTTGAATTGTGGTGTTGGTGAAGAATACTGAATATACCATGGAATGCCAAAAGAACCAACAAATCTTTCTTGGAAGAAGTCCACCCAGAATGCTGCTTAGAAGCAAAAATGGCAAGACTATGTCTAACATACTTTGGACATGTTATCAGGATGGATCAATCCCTGGAAAAGGACATCATGCTTGGTAAAGTAGAGGGTCAGCAAAAAAGAGGAAGATGCTCAATGAGATGGAACGATACATTGGCTGCAACAATGGCCTGAAGCATAACGACCACTGTAACCATTGGGACCATGATTTATTTCTCCTACCATAGTATAAATATTCTGAATAAATCTAGTATTAATTTATTCTGGATTATTTTCTACATTTCAGTTTCGAGGTTAAAGTGAAATGAAACTTCAAGTATGTTCTCTTGTTTTCTTTCCCACAGGTTATGTAAAAAACTTAAGTTGAACTCGGTAATGGACACATCCCTTCTTCTGAATCGTTTGATTATGTTTGTTACGGTCACTGTTCAATACAATATAAATGCAAAGAACAATAAGGTAAGAAAATGAGGAAATAAAAGCGGGAAGAGATCGAGAAAGAAAGAACAGCTCAAGTAGGCATTCACTAGTTGTCTAGGTGTCATGAATTGTTTTATAGAAAGCTATACACGGCGTGGCTATTTGTTTAAAAATTAAAATAATACATACAAGCCTCTAGTATGAGAATAAAACTAAATGATGAAATATGTAAGCTACTGAATTATTAATATGTCAAAATTTCCTACTCATATTTTATTCTAAATACTCTTGGAAACTATTTTAAAAAATGGAAGAATGGAGTAATAATGGATGCGCTGTAAGACAGAATTCAATGACTTCTATAAACCTTTTATTTAAAAACTTTTAAAAAGCTGTCCCATTACGTAGGATTACCCTGAGCCTGATCCATGTCATAATAACAATTATAAGCAAATAGAAAATAATGGAATTACATCTTGTATGGACTGAAGAGAAAATATGTTGAATTTTAATAGTTTAAATAACTGTCAAATGCAGGGAATTTAAAAGAAAATTTGACTATAAAGATGAAAACATTTTTAGCACTTTTGATCCACTGGGTCATGGAATAAGACAGATTTTGAAATAGAAAACTTGTGAACTTTGATAATCTCAAAAAAAAATCACAACTTTTTTGGGGGAGATTAGGGAAATAAACTTTTTTTGGGGGAATATCAGAGATTAAGGAACATGTTCAGAGCCTGAGGTACCTATCCCAGACAGCCTCATCCCACAGGTAACCCTAACCAGCCAGTTAAACTGCCAAATTGAGTAAGTACAAGGACAGACATCTGCTAGAATAAGGTGATAAATTGGTTTACAACTTGCATTGATTTTTTTTTATACCTTTTTTATTTTGAAACTAATTATGGGCTCACAAGGAGTTACAAAAAGTATACTGAGATGTCTCATGTTCCTTTCATCCACTCTTATCCAATATAAGCATCTTATATAACTATAGTAAATTACCAAAAGCAATTGACATTGCACAATACAGTTAACTAGACTACAGATCTTACTTGGATCTCACCAGTTTTTATGTACAGTTTTTTGGGGGAGAGAGCTTCTTAATTATGAGTTGAGACTATTACAAAAAGTTTTCAAAGTTGTAATGGAAACTTCTCTCATACTTTCCTTCCTTCCCCCTTTATCTCTCTACCTCCTTCTAACACTCTGTCTCTCTTTTTCTCCCTTGCTTGCATCCTCCCATAGTGAGTACTAACTTTGTGCTAGCACTGTGATATGTGCTAGGGAAAGAGTGATAACAACAGAAGGTTGTGGCCATATGCTCCTTCATTGTTATCCCTTCCCATTCTCATTCAGATCCTTAATAGGCCTTCTGATCTGTCTTCCAGCCTCCTGTCTGCCCCTAACCCACTTCTTTGTATACCAAACCCTAGGTTAATCCTCCTAAAGCACAGCTCTTATCTCATTGCTTCTCTTGCTAAAAACTCTTAGAAATTCTTCCTCATCAACAGAATGAACTACTACAAAAAGTATTCAGTCTGCTATTATCACAAGTCCCATTCTTCTAAATTTTGTAACTTGTGTTCTAGCCATATTCTACAATTTCCTGTTCTTGTACTCACATGCACATTTCCCCTCATGTTACTCTAGTCTTCTGGAAGGCTTACTATTGTTGTTACCATTAAAATATGTTAAGTGCATTTTAAAAGCCACCCTCCCATGAAATATCCCGACTGCTCCAAGCAGATACAACCTCTTATTTCTTTAACCAGTACTCCCCACTCACAACATTTTATTTGTGATCTTATCATATATATATTTTTCTCCATCTCATTTGGTGCTGTAGGAGTACATTTCTGCTGCTAGATCATGCCATTCTTTAGAACAGAGACTCTGCCTGGCTTCCTTTCAGTTTTTTTTTTTTTTTTTGGTATCTGGAGAAGGAATATTGATATGGATCAAGCTAGATCTCCGGGCCCTCTTCTCCACAGTTTCTATCTCTTACTATCTATGTGACTCATAACAGGATACCCCATGAGGTAAGTATGACTAGTTCCAAGACTTTTGGGGCTAATGCACGTACATCATGGGACACTGTACTAGTTTCCTAGTGCTGCCGTAACAAATTATCACAAGGAATGTTGCTTTCATCAACGTAAACTTAGTGTCTCAAAATTCTGTAGTCTAAAATTACTAATTCAGGGTGTCAGCTGGGCCATGTACTCTCTGAAGGTTCTAGGAGAGATTCTTTATTGTCGCTTTCAGCTTCTGGTAACCTTTGGCATTCCTTGGATGTGGTCTCATCATAACGTCATCATTACAAAGCTCTTTTCCCTTCTTTACTCCATGTCTTTGTCTGTTCTCCACTTTTATATGGAAGCACTTGTATTGCAGTATGATGCACCTATTCCAGTAGGACATCATGTTAACTTATCTGATAACATCTTCAAAGAGCCTATTTCCAAACAATGTCACATTCACAGGGGTCAAGGGTGAGGACTGCAATATAACTTTTGAGGGGGACAGAATTCAACCCATAACAGGCATTCAATAATAATATATGGGAAATGCCTAACAAAGGAAACATTTGTAAAATTAAACCGTAAGTCTTGGTAGAAAATCATCTTTCCAAAAACAAAAAAAATAAAACGTTGTGTATATGACTGACTTTGAATGAATTAAAGCTTCCTAGGTTAGTGATTACTTTAAGAAACCTAAGACCAATGTTGCATTCAGAACCCTCTGAATGCTGGAGTCATTCTGAGAAAGGACCTGCTCCTAACTCTTGGTAACACATGCTGGGAATAACAAGGTCAGGCTGAGGAGCAGACACTCCCAGTGAATTCTGTCTCCAAAACCATTCCTAAGGGTCTGAAACAACAGAACCATCCACATCCATTTTCTTGTTCCCATCCCCCAGCACACCGGAATATTTTTGTTACATGGAAGAGATGAGGGTGACACTTTCCTCTCTCTTCTCTTTGGAAGTAGTTTGTAGAGAAAATTCTTGATTGTTTCTAAAGGATCATTCAAGGAGAGACTTGGCTTTTGATGTGTGATTTGTATATTTTTTTTCTAATTTGAATATCATGCATACTTTTTTTATTACTGAATAATTAATCATTATTAAATTATTGAGTTAAGTCTATATGCATTTTTTTAATCCCGTTAAGGGTATGCAAGGCCCTCATTTAACCAGAATTAAAATAATTATCAAGTACAGTTATTTCCCTGCGATTTAATCTGTAAGTGTTAATTTTGTGCCCACTTTCTTACTCAAAGGAAAGGAGGATTTGCTGACTTTGTAACTGATATGCCTGGTCTGCAATTTGGGTAGCAGGAATTCTCAGCAAAGATGACAATCAGTGTAGAACTTAGAAGTCAAATATTGTATGGCTAGCCTCTAATGGCCTGGAAAACAGTTTAGAGGTTACTTTGGAGGCTGATAGTTGTTCTGTCAGAAGCCCAAAATCATGCAATTTGATCTTTTACAAATGTAATGAACTTGTATCAAAATAAGTTTGCCCATAAATGAACATCCAATGGCGTTGACCTGTTACAGGTTGTTAATGAATAATAATTACAATAATGAGATAATGATATTTATAACAACTACCACAGACCAAGGGCTTATCCTTACATAAACCTTATACTAAGTAGCTCATATTTTTTGTCCTAAAAATTCTCACAGTATCTGTGTGTAAGTCCAATTTTAAAAACAAGGAGCCTAGGCTCCAAAGCTTTAAATGACTTGCCCAAAGACACAATGTCTATTAAGGGGCTGAGTCAGAATTTTATTGTGACTTTCTCTGACTAAAACCCATCTGTTGACTACGGTGATAATATATATTATGTTTTCTTAACTTCTGTTTAAAAAGACTCCAAATTAAATAAATGATTTCGTCCTCACTTACTTTTTATCTTACTTTTCTTTCTTTCCTCCCTCCTTCATCCTTTCTTTCTTCCTTCCTTCCTTTTGGCAAAATTAAATTTTCACTCTATCATGGAAAATATCAGATTTAATGATCACAACTAAGATGCTGCAATCTACAGGACAGGTCCACTAATATTATCTCATTTACTGTAGCATACTCTTGTATGTGGGCATTTGGAAATGCTGGTGGTGTAGTGGTTAAGATCTATGGCTGCTAACTAAAACGTTAGAAGTTCGAATCCACCAGGGGCTCCTCTGAAACCATATGAAGCAGTTCTACCCTGTCCTATAGGGTCGCTGTGAGTCAGAGTTGACTTCATGGCATTTTTTTTTTTTTAAGTTAGGCATTGTTTTTACCCACATTTAAAGATATGGACCCTGATCCTCAGAGAGACCAAGTAACTGTCCTGCAGTCACACAGCCAATATAAAGCAAAGCCAAGAGACGAGATTGTTCTGTAGATGATGGCAGGATAGTGTCTTCATGGACGAACATGTAAAGGAAGCCAATGGGCTCATTAAAATTCAAACTTTAATCTACACAAGGCAGATTCTTTCCCTCAGCACCCGTCGACTTAGTGATTTTAATGAATAATACTTCATAATTTCTTGAGGTGTGCTTTAGAGTTAGGAAGTGGTTGGAAAGGGCTTGGTCAAGGATAAAATTTTCTCTTTAATGCCTTTTTTTCTTTTTTTTTTTTTTTTTACATTTCCAAGATTACTGTTGTTTAAAAGAGACTTTATTCTACCTTTTGTTTCATGACTGAAATCTCAGAGAATTCTTATAAATACATGGATTGGAAACTACACATTTAAAATTTTTATAGCATAGAATTTTCTCATGTAAAAATCTAGCTTGTATTCTGATAATGGATTAAACTTAGCTTTGGAGGATTTTTATGTGCTATATGGGGAGATAAGTAGTTTGAAATTCATGTGGTTTTCATTTTGCTGAACTAAAATACAATGCTAGCATGAAAGTTAATATTTAGATTTTCCCTTTGAAAAGCCTAGTAAAAATGAGGAATATGTATTAATCCCTTGATACCTAATGTGAGGCCACGTACACAGATGATGCTCAGCCAATTATGGATTTTTGAAGGCTTGTTCCCTCATTCAGGAAAACACTGCAAATCTACACCTTGTTTTAATAAGGCTTCAGCTATACTAAAACAAACCAAATCTCCTGAAAGGCCACTATATAGGCGACATGGAGAGAGTAGTTTTTTCTTTCAATATCAGCATCTAAGAGGATTCAGCTCTACTAGAATTTCTGCAATTGTCATGGGAACCAATTTGTTGCACAGTTACCTGACATGCATGCTAACAATGCAGATTCCTTGGCTTCACTGCAAAACATCTAGAGTGGGAACCAGGCATCACGTCCTCAGGTGATTTGTACAAAATTTAACTACAATTCAAGACTATTTTTTATGCTAACTTCTCATATCTGTCCTTAAAAAACAAATAAATAAATAAATCCATTTTCATGGAGTAAGTTCTGACTCATAGGGACCCTACGGGACAGAGTAGAACTCCCCACAGGGTTTCCAAGGAGTGGCTGGTGGATTGGAAAAGCAGAACTTTTGGCTGTCAGTGGTGCTCTTAACCACTGTACCACCAGAGCTCTCCTTACCCCTTCCCTTAATCCCATGTGTGAAAATCCTACTGCATGTGAGAAAAATGAGTTAATAAGGGATAAATATATTTCCTTTCATCACATTCAGTTTCTCTAGCAACACTTCCTATGTTGGTAGTCAACTTCAGATTTTCTGTGCAAATGTAGCATTCAATGAACTGGTTGCTGTCATGTCTATTTCAACTCATAGTGGCTCCATGTATGTCACAATAGAATTGTGCTCCACAGAGTTTCCATTAGATGATTTTTTGAAAGTAGATTGCTAGACCTTTTTTCTGAGGCACCTCTTGGAGCACTTGAACCTCCAGCCTTTTGGTCACCCGCTCAGCACGTTAACCATTTGCACCATCCAGGACCTCCAAGTGTGGTGTTAGGGATTCCTAAATCCACAGACAATTCAACAAGTGTAGTTTGGAAAGTAAAATTCTGCCAACAGATTTGACCTTCATTCACACAAAATCTTTCATGGTTCTCTATAGTTAGCACATTTGAAACAATAAGTTTTATTGTTCCTTTAAAAACTTTTCTATGCAGGCCCTTTATCCCTCTTATACTGATAATCAACAAAAGTGTAAAAGTTCCATAATCTAACCACATTCTATGAATAATAGATATTTCCAGTTTTTTTTTTCTCTTTTTGAATAGTTCTCTTGACTAAAAAATAATAATGGTACGGTGTTTGTTGAACAATGTGATGATAGTAATTAATATCACTGAATTTGTATGTAAAGATAGTAGACATGGCAAATATTTTAATTCCTGTATACTTAGTAAAAAAAAAAAAAAAAGGAAGAAGTATAATAATGATTATAGTAGCAATGTTGCTGCTTATACAATGACTTTGTTCCAGGCACTATCCCTAGGGTTGCTTTCATTTAATCCTCACAGCAATCTTATGAGCTATTCTGAGTAGTTTATTATTATTGTCCACACTGAGTGCATGAGCAAAACTAAGGCTCAGACAGTTAAGTAACTAATTCAATGTCACACATTCAGGCCTACTGACCGTCGTATTAGACATGCATATCCTTGCTGCCACTTCTTCAGGCATATTGCCACTCTTGCCTTAAATGCACTCTCCTTTTTTAATTTTAATTGTAAATTTGTAAAAAGATAAAAAACTCAACATTTGCAAATTCAAAATTTTTCATATGTACAATTCAATAAAAACACTAACATTAAACATGTGCAAAAAACATCAGTATTTATTGCCAATTTTTCCATCCCCATGATCAAAAAATCTATATTACCTGAAAAATGATTTTCCCCTCTCTTGGTCCTTCTTTGCCCTATAACCACTATTAAACACTAATCTTTATATCTTTATCTATTCTCGATACTTCAGTTTAGTATAATCATTCAATTACAATTTACTAACTTCTATTTACTTAAACCTTAAACCATCTTCCAAGTCCCCCTCAATTCCTACCTCCTCAAGAAGCCTTTTCTCATGATTCTAGTCCTCACAAAACTTTCTCAGAATTCCCGTAGTAGCTCATTAATGTATTCATATTTTATGTACCTTGTCTTCTTCGACTGGATCCTTCCAAAGTGTTAGTTCTCATCTTTCACACCTACCACTGGTCCTAGCAGTGCTCTAGCAAGATACTGCATGCTCAGTCAAAGCTTGATTATTTGTAACCTTTTCCAAACCAGATACCTACCTGAATACCAAAAGCTTTTGTTAAAGCAAGTGCTTTTATGAGCTGTGTGTCTTGCAGAAGGGATGTTGACTCCCTTGTAGTTGACTCTGAAACCCATACAGGTGAGCTGATACTTTTCAGAAGCTAATCTTCAGGCCAAGTCACCAAAGACTAACGGTACTTTATTTGCATTAAAATCAATCACTTAAATCATTTAAAACAATTTTGGAGTTAAATTCCATTTGGAGCTGAAAGACTTCCCATGTCTGTTCTCTTAAGGACAATCAGAATCTCAATTTTTGCAGGGAAACCAGGTCTTAATCAGGATTAAAGAATTTTGTGACATCATGACTAACTCCTCACTGGGTTCACCGTACTACAGATTTGTAAGAATTATACATTCAGTGGTAAAGGAAGAATATTTGTGTTGCCTTGCTACAAATTATGATGATAAACTGAAAAGTTTCTCTGACTCTTCCATAGACTACCACAATCCTACAAAAGGTAAGGTGTTATCTAGTGAAAATGAGAAATTACAAAATAATCAGAACTATGGTATTTACTCAAGGATGGGAAGAAAGAGTGAATGAGTTGAGCACGTGAATATACACAGATTAAATCATGCTAATAAAAGATTCAGAAATACCAAATATTTAGGACTGCAAGAAGCAGAGTACAGAAATGTGCCCCTTAGTAAGTGTCAAGATTAATCAACCAGACTGATGCCAAAAAAATACCTCATTTCACTTCAAATTCTATATAGAGCAGTTCTCAAACACGGTTACACTTTTGAGTGACCCAACTTGTTGCCGTGCAATCAGCTTCAACTTATGGCTACCCCATGTGTTACAGAGCAAAACTGGACCATAGGATTTTCTTGGCTGTATCTTTACAGGACCAGATCAGCAGGCCTTTCTTGCGCACCAATGCTGAGTGGGTTCAAATTGCCAGTCTTTAGGTTAGTAGTCAAGCAAGAATTGTTAGCACCTCCTAGGGACCTGCTCTCCATTAGTCTGTTTGAACTCCAATATACCTACAACTTCAAGTTGTTTTCTGTATGAATAGTTCTTAAAATGTTTAACTAAATGACTCAAAGACAAGTGAACTTTTGGCATAACGTCTAGACTTTAGATGAACTAAACTTCTAAGTTAGTATCCACAAGTGGATTAATTGATTTATGTCATCCTACCAATATTGGTGACCTCTTGGGGAGAAGTTGCAGTTACAGCATGTCTGAAGATGTGGAGATGGTGAGGGACAGGGGAATCCAGTGTGCATCCCTCCTTCATGAAACTTCATGGAGAAGGGCCTGGGACATTCTGAGGAGGAGTAACTAGAGGCAAATGCAGAGAGAATGGAGTGTGTTCCCAGCAGAGGCTGGAACAAGAGGACAGATAGGAGGACAGAACTGAGGTGCTCACAGAGATGGTCCTGAGGGAATGAGATAAGATTACTTTAGGAGCATGTGAGGACCTCACTAGAATCTCCTTCTCACTGGACAGAGTTTCGGATTTTGGTGGGTTAATACTGGACATGACTAAAAATAATATTAATAATAATGGGGTCAAATTTGTTTTAAAAGTTCACAGGTATCATGTAAATTAGAATACTGAATTTGTTTAAGTTTTTTATTTGGTCATTGACAAAAATATCATTTCTGATTAAGTCAATTGACTTTTTGCTTTCTAGGCAGACAATGGTTCTATCAGTCTTGCACTGAATTTGGTTTCTTTAAGACCACGGATTCAATGAACCAGCCTTTCACTGGATTACCTCTTAGGTAAAGTCTCTGCTTTGACTTCTCTTTCTCACTAGAAACCATGATAGTAGGTTTTTTTTTGTTGGTTTGTTTGTTTTTCCATACTCAAATTGATCAGATCGGCCTGTTTCAAATTGGTGAAAACTTAAGGGAGAAATCTTCTGGATGGAAGTTTGAGAAATTATTAATATTCTAATAACATATGTAGAATCCAATATCAGTTTTCCGAACCTAACTGAATTAGTAGCTGCCAGGAAACACTCTATAAGTTTTAGAGAATGAATAAGAATAAATAAACTAGCAGCCTTCTTCTCACTGGTTGACATTACAGGGTCATTTTATTTAAAATCCTTTTACCAAGAACGTACTTTCTGTGTTTTTGAAAAATCCAATAACGAAGATGGATGACAGCAAAGTTGTAAATAAAGAAGCCAATTTCTCCATCTGTTTTCAATTTTATGTCAGTCAAGATTTGCTGGTTGTATGAAGCAAGACAGATCACCCTTAGTCAAATTATCTCTCGTTGGCTTGTGGGCCTTTGTTCGTATTGACTGAATTTGGAGAGCAAAATATTGTTCTTCATCTCTAGATTTGTCCACCAGAAACAGAAGCTAATCAATATGAAGAACTTTAAAGATAATTTTATAGTTAAAATTGTGGGAAGAGAGAAATAAGAGTCGTCACTCGAATAGACATATGCACACTTATGTTCATAGTAGCATTGTTGACAATAGCAAAAAGATGGAAACAACCTAGATGTCCATCAACAGATGAATAGATAAACAAACTGTGGTACATACACACAATGGAGTACTATGCAATGAGAATGAATAATGACGAATCTGTGAAGCATCTCATAACATGGATGAAACTGGAGGGCGTTATGCTGAGTGAAATAAGTCAGTCACAAAAGGCCAAATATTGTATGAGACCTCTATTGTAAAAACCCATAAAAAGTTCACACACAGAAAGTAACAATCTTTGTTGCTTACCAGGGATGGGAGGGGTGGGGGGGACTACTAAATAGACAATAGATAAGTGGTATCTTGGGTGAAGGGTGAGACAGTACACAATACTGGGGAAACCAGCACAACTTGTACAAGAAAAGGTCATGGAAGCTCCATAGACACATCCAAACTCCCTGAGGGACTGAATTGCTGGGCGGAGGGCTGTGGGGACCATGGTCTCAGGGAACATCTAGCTCAATTGGCATAACACAGTTTATAAAGACAATGTTCTACATTCTACCTTGGTGAGTAGCATCTGGGGTCTTAAAAGCCTGTGAGCAGCGATCTAAGATAGTCCATTGGTCTCATCCCTTTGGGAGCAAGGGAGAATGAAGAGAACAGGATACAAGGAAAAGGTTAATCTGAAGGACTAATGGACCACAGCTACCAAGGCCTCCACTGGACTCAGTCCAGTACAGCTAGATGGTGCCCAGCTACCACCACTGACTGCTCTGACCAGGATCACAATAGAGGGTCTGGAACAGAGCTGGAAAAGGATGTAGAACAAAATTTTAACTCACAAAAAAAGACTAGATTCGCTGGCCTAAAGCAGACTGGAGAAACCCCGGGAGTATGGTCCCCAGACACCCTTTTAGCTCGGTGGTGAAGTCACTTCTGAGGTTCACCGTTCAGCCGGGGAGTGGACAGCCCCGTAAAACCAAATGGGACTAATGAGGCACAGCAATCCAGGGACAAGGGATAGAAGGCAGAAGGGGACAGGAAAACTGGTGATAGGGAACCCAAGGTTGAGTAAAGACAGTGTTGATGTGTAGTGAGGTTGTTTACCATTGTCATAGGGCAACGTGTACTAATGGTTTAATGAGAAACTATTTTGTTCTGTAAACCTTCATCTAAAGTGAGAATAGCAGCACAATTGGAAGAGCATAGTCAATGTCACTGAACTGTGCATGCAGAAATTTTTGAAATGGTTTATCTTTGGTTACATATATTTTCACCAAAAATAAATAAATAAATAAAAAAGGTTGAAAAAAGAGAGGGTTGACATGTCGTGGGGTTGTTAATCAATGTCATAAAACAATCTGTGTTCCACTGTTTCATGAGAAACTATTTGTTCTGTAAACCTTCACCGGAAGTACAATAAAAAAAATTAAAAAAAAACATTCTTGAAGGAGCCCAGTTCCAAAGATAACATTTGAACATTTTGGACTTGAAGAAAGTGGGGTTGCATACAAACCCACATTTAAAAACCAAACTAATCCCATTGTCCCCGAGTGGATTCTGTCTCATAGTGACCCTATAAGACAGAGTAGAACTGCTTCATGGGTTTCCAAAGAGCAACTACGGGATTTGAACTGAGGATGTTTTGGTTAGCAGCCAGCTCTTCACCACTGCCACTGGGCTCCAAACCCACATTAGCTCCTCTATATAATCTCTGGAGCTTGGGAGAGTAGCACCACTATCGTGGAGACCTACCAGTCCTGCTGCCGCCTGGGAGCTCACCTTGACTGTAAGTTTTCCCCATAAAAAAATTTAGACCACATATTTAAAAAAAAAAAATTGGGGGAAGAGCATTCTTTATATGTATCCAAGTATGTCTGTGTGTAGGTATCTTCTACATGAAAATGCATAGATACTATAATATGTAAAAATATCTTGTAGGGTAAAATCATGAAAAAAGTATAAACTTGGGGGAAAAAAGTATGAACTCCAAGCCAATACTTTTTTGTATGAAAGTAACCAAAAACTCAAATTTCCTGATGAGGAGTGGAGCTATGACGTAGTCAATGTCAAGTGTACTAACTGGACCAAACTTTTTAAGAGTAATGTCTATGGTGAAGGTACATGTACTGGGGCAAACACCTACTGTAGCCACACTTCTTTTGGTGTCTGTTCCACCAGTGAAGAGAGAAGTCCCAGTCACATTATTAGACCTTTGTTCCTTTACATATCATTTTTCTCCTAGGACACAGGAGTAGAAATCTTGCTTTCTCTTTGACTCCCTTCTTTAGAATTTCTTTGATGTTCTAAACCCTCAGGGCTAGAACAACTAGAACTGGGTGGATTTGAGGAGCCCTGGGGCATGCTTCTCTACATTAGAGGCAGTCTTTCACTCTCACTGCCTCTATGCTCTCTTCTTTCTTAACAGTCAGGCAAGCTATGCATTAAGTTTTCTTCCTTCCACAGTGATTACTAGTCCATGCTCATGTGTGGAATTGGTGGGAAGGCAAATAAAATAATTTTCTGCTTTCTTGTCCTGAAGCCCTAGGTGGAGTCCAGAAAACAGCAGCATGTTGTGTCTATAGCCTCCTCACTAAGGTTTTACATTGAATTGGCCAAGGGTCCTATAGACAATTACTTTGCTGGCCACATTCCTCTGTGCTCACCTATTAGAAGACCTCATAGAAGGAGAGGCTGAACTAGGATAGATAGAGAGAGAGAGAGACAGAGACCGAGAGAGAGAGAGAGAAAACTTTCATTCTTAAGCTAAAGAAATCCTTTTAGCTATTTTAAGTAATTCAGAACTCAGGGGAAAACAAAACAACTGAAAAACCAAAAAAACAACACACTTTTTCTGTAAATTTCTTTCTTACACTCCTCAATCCTACTCTCCAGCACCTAAAATTTTGTCTCATTTTCTTTGCAGTTATTATGTTCAGCAATGTTCTGATTTATTTGGCCCTGAGTTTAATTATGATAAACTGAACACGGGTGTAATGTCCACCAACGAGTACTATGGAGGCTTCAGTGTGAGGGGAAGCAAAATCATCTTTTCCAACGGTTCCTTTGATCCTTGGCACATTCTGGGAATCACAAAGGATATCAGTGAAGATTTGCTTGCTGTCTTCATTAAAGGTAACCACTGTGAGCAGTTAAGGCCTACAAATACGATGAAATAGGTCAGCATGTAATAATAAAGTAAGAAGGCTACGTTGGTTCAGTAGTTGAATTCTTGCCTTCAATATGGGAGAACCAGGTTGGATTCCAGGACAATACACATCATGTACAGCCACTACCTCTCTGTCACTGGAGGCTTGTGTGTGTTATGAGCCTGAACAGTTTCAGTTGAGCATCCAAACTAAGGCAAACTAGGAAGAAAGGACTGGCGATTTATTTCTTGACATCAGCCAATGAAAACCCTATGATTCATAATGGTTTGATCTGCAACCAATCACTGGAATGGCCCAGCACCACGAAGCAATTAGTTCTGTTGTGTATGGGGTCGCCATGAGTTGAGGGTTGACTTGTAACCACAATCAACACCCTTGGAAGCAGCACTCCATAAATCAAAGGATGCATTGCATTGGGCCAATCTGCTGTAGAAGATCTCTTTAAAATGTTAAAAAGCAAAGATGTCACCTTGAAGACTAAGATGTGCCTGACCCAAGCCATGGTGTTTTCAATTGCCTCATATACATGTGAAAGCTGGACAACGAATAAGGAAGACTGAAGAAGAATCGATGCCTTTGAATTATGGTGTTGGTGAGCAATATTGAATATACTATGGACTGCCAAAAGAATGAACAAATCTTCCTTGGAAGAACTACAGCCAGAATGATCATTAGAAGTGAGGATGGTGAGATTTTCTCTTACATAGTATGGATATGTTCTCAAGAAGGACCAGTCCCTGTAGAAGGATGTCATACTTGTTAGAGGGTCAGGAAAAAAAGGGGAAGCCCCTCAACAAAATGAGTTTAACAATAGCAGCAACAGTGAGCTCAATTATAACAAGGATCATGAGTACGGCACAGGACAAGGCAGCGTTTCGTTTTGTTGTACATAGGGTCACTATGAATTGGAACCTACTTGATTGCACTGAACAACAAGAATATAGCCACATGTAGCTCATGGTGGCTACCGTATTGAACAATGCAGGTCAAACTTTACATGTATAATCTCATTATATCCTCCTAACAATCAAGGGTAATTACTATCACATTTCTCATTTTACAGATAAGGAAACTGAGTATAAAACCAGTAAATGTGTTGCTGTGGACTTGACACCAAATCCTGATATCCCCGTAGGTGTCAGAGTAGAACTATGCTCCATAGTGTTTTAAATGGCTGATTTTTTTTTTTTTTTTTTTAATGGAAGTGGCTATCCAGACCTTTCTTCTGAGGCATCTCTGGGTGGACTCAACCTGCAACCTTACTGATAGCAGAAGAACGTATCAACAGTTTGTACCACCCAGGGACTTATACAGAGGTTAAGACAACTGGACTAAGGCTCACACTGTAATAAGTAGTAGAACCAGAACACAAAGCCAAGGAGCCTCACTGAAGGTCATGCTCCTTCACCACTGTGCAACCTGCCTCCCAAGTTGTTTGGCAATATAAATTCTTATGGTTTAAAAAAGACCTCGAAAATCTGAGACAGCCATTGCAAATGCCTCTTTTTCATGGAAATTAGTAAGAAAGAATGCTCAGATTCATTCACTTAAAAATATTTATGGAGGGTCTTCTTGTGTCAGATGCTGTGCTGGATACTAGATGTGTAAGGGTGCACACAGTCACTGTTCCGGGGAGCTACTCATCATACATGTAAGACACACATTGATCAAATAACTGCAGAGAGAGCTTTCCTGGGTCACAGATGTCTGGACAAAATAGAGAAAGAGAAGAGGTTTAGGTTTCACCTCTTGCAAGTAAACTCTTTAGTCACTGGAACTAGATGTTATTCAACTTTGAATCCATGATGCCTAGTGCATGGTTGATATTCAAAGATGGTATGCTAAATGAAAAATGCTACTCATGCAATTATAAAAATGAAGAGAACCTGGTAAGAAGAATAAAGTCTTATCTTCAGGTTGTTCACAATGGCTGAAGAAAGGACCACTTATCCGTAACTAGAGAATAATTTGAAGTATTGGGGCAAAATCTGTAGATAAATATGCCTTTTCCTCTTTACCTCCATTTCCACATCTTTTATATTATCCCATTTCTAATTGCTCTTGTATTGAACTAGTTCTTTGTGCTTATTGAAATATAGTTTTATGGCTCATTATATTAGATAATAATAAATGAAGATGATATAATAACCCACTTTTTCTTTTTGAATTTCATTACATATTCTTGAATATTCATAATTTCAGTATGTGTCAGAACTATTATTTTATGCTTTATCCTGTCAAAATTTGGTCATTGGTCAAAATTAAATGCTGTAAGTCAGTTGAGGCAATTCAATGATTGACAATCTTTACAATTTTTATTTAGGAGGGAGGAGGAACAAAGGGGCTAGAACTGTAGTAGTAGAAAAGTAGTAGTTACACATCAGCTGGGAGTGAGGGATATTTCCTTATTTTTGTTGTTGTACAATAATAACCAGTTCTGACTGCCGCTCTTGGCGACCTCATGTGTTTCAGAGTAGTGTTGTGCGCCATAAGATTTTCAATGGCTATGATCTTCTGGAAGTAGATTATCAGGACTTTCTTTCAAGACACTTCTGGGTGAATTCCAACCGCCAATCTTTCAGTTAGTAACAGAGGACTTAATGATTTGAATTATCCAGAGACTCCTTGTGATTGTAGGGTGTCCTTGTTTGTGTCCATGTTCACACATGATTACAGGGTGGTGTTATTTGTGCCTGATCTCGTCACAGTCAAGATGTCACTTCATCTGAAATTGAAATTCTGTGAAATTGTTTGTCTATAGGAAACACGGTGGTTTGTAACCATCTGTCTGTTGTCAAGGCCTTTGTTTTTCACAGACGGAAGTCTTATCCTTTATCATGGATTGAATAGTGTCCCCCAAAAATATGTGCCAACTTGGCTGGGTCATGATTCCCAGTACTCTATGACTGTCTACCATTTTGTAATCTGAGGTGACATCCCTATGTGTTGTAAATCCTATCACTATGATGTAATAAGATGAATTAGCAGCAGTTATATTAGATAGTGTTTTAAGCCAATATCTTTTGAGACATAAAAGAGAGAAACAAGCAGAGAAACTTGGGGACCTCATACCACCAAGAAAGTAGTGCTGGGAGCAAAACACGTCCTGTGGACCTGAAATCCCTGCTCTGTGATGCTCCCAGTCCAAGGGAAGACTGATGCATGAAAAGGACATTACTCCAGAGCCAATAGAGAGAGAAGAACTTCTCCTAGAGCAGAGGCCCTGAGATCAGACTTCTGGCCTGCTGGACTGTGAGAGAATAAACTTCTCTTTGTGGAAACTATCCGCTTGTAGTATTTCGTTATAGTGGCACTGGATGCCTAAGACATCCTTCCTACTCTGTTTTCCTCACTACCTATTAGGGAGCCATCTCTATTAGTTTTTTGTTCAGCTTTACAGTATTTCTTTTTTTGAAAATTAAAAACAAACAAGCAAAAATCAGACCTACTGCCAGCAAGTTGATTCCAACTCGTAGTTACCCTATACCACATAATAGAACTTCCTCAAAAGGTTTTCAAGGCTGTAAATCTTTATGGAAGCAGATTGCCACATCATTATACTGGAGAGCAGCTGGTGGGTTCCAACTGCTGACGTTTGGTTAGCAGCTGAGTTTTTAACCACTGTGCCACCAGGGCTCCTGCTTTTTGCAAATACAATCATATATATTCTTATTCCTTTGTAAATAAGTGGTAGCATATTACATACACTGTACTACACCTTCCTTGTTTCTCTTACCAATATACATTTGAGGTCTTTCCAAGTACATAGAAATATTTCTCATTGTTTTTTAATGAGTGAATAATACTCCACTGTCTATACGAGTCATAGGTATTACATAATTTTAGCTTCTTAAAAGAAAACAAGGAGCCCTGGTTGTGCAATGGTTAAATGCTCAGCTGTTAACAGAATGTTTGGCCTTCGAATGCACCAGTCACTTTGCAGGAGAAAGATGCTGTCTGTTTCCATAAAGATTACAGCCTTGGAAACCTTATGGGGCAGTTCTACTCTTTCCTAAAGAGTTAGAATTAGTCAGAATTGACTTGGCACCAAAGGATATTTTAGTAACACCAAATACAACTTGCCCCAAAAATAAATAATACTGTATGGATGGATACTTGGAATACCTGGGTTGTGCAAATGGTTAAGCGCTCGGCTACTAACAGAAAGGTTGGTGGTGCCTCAGAAGAAAGATCTGGCAATCTGTTTTCCAAAGGTCATGCCACTGAAAACCAAATGGAGCACAGTTCTACTCTGAAACAAATGAGTTCGTCATGAGTTAGAATCGACTTTAAGGCAAACATTTTGTTCAATTTTGTCATGTTTTTGGTTTGGCTAGATGCTTATTTGTAAAACTCTGAACTGATATTTGACAGTATGTGTTACGTAAACCAACCTGTGACAGACACTCGGGTCAGCTGGATTCAATTATTAGTTCCACTAGTAATTTTCTTGACAAGTCACTTAAACTCTCTGAGGCATAGGTTCCACATCTGTAAAATTAAAGGGTTGACCAATATTTAAGATTCCATAAAATTTCATCTGTTTGATCTTATTCTCATATGTTATATAGTTATTAACCCATTCTCCTTCAGGAAAAAAAAGAAAAAAACCTGTTTTTTAGCAACTGCTGACTTCATTATACTGGAAGTATAAATACTTCCATCATGGCCAATTTCAAGCTCACGGTTTAACAACTAGCTTGTAGAATTTTTGAAAATTGAACAATTGGCTCTTGGATCTGGTACACTGTAATTCCAGTAGACTGCTGGGAAAACTCTCTAAAATAAGACTCACTGAGATTGAGACATGGTAACTTCCTCAGATGGAACTTAAGTTATATCACACTTGGATTGAACAAAAAGGCAACTAAAAACATTATTCTCTAAATCTACTACTTTAATCATTCCAAGAAATGTTCATTAATTTCTAGCATGGAAAGATTGCATGGCACAAACAATAACTCATTTTAATTAGTAGCATATATTTATCCAACCCTAATCTACAAAGAAGCCTTACTTACTTGATTTAAAGCCCATTACGTTAGTAAACTAATTCTCTTTCTTAATTTTAACTGCACATTTTAATCAACTTTTAACCAGCTTTTGAAAATTACTGACACCCAGCCCCACCCCAGACTAACTAAATCAGAACCTCTGAAGTTGGGGGCTCAGGTATTGGTTGGTTTGAACAGGGTTCAAAGTGGCTCTAATGTGCAGGTGTGGGTTAAGGACATCTGCTCTTCGAATACTTGGTATGTAAGTATACTGACATTTATCTTTCCCTTTAGGCGAAGGACATTGTTCAGATTTGACCGCTCGAAGGGATACTGATTCAGCTGAACTAATTCAAGCACGAGAAAAAATCTTCCATATCCTGCAAAAATGGCTAAAGTAATAGATGTCTCTGAAAAATAAATGCAAAAGAACCTAAATCTGCCCCCCGCCCCCATTTTATTGCTCAAATGTAAAACATCCTACAAGTGTGAAATTAGAGCAGTCCCAAAAGTCTAATTACTCTATGTAGGATTTAAGTTTGTTTCGTTTTCGTGGAAGGTCATATTATTCCTCCTTTCTTGCTGCCCTTGAGGAGCAGAAGACAATCCAGCACATAAAAAGTTGATTTCCCTGAAGGACCAGGTGTAATCAGTTAGTTGGTTGCCAGGATACAAGTGCTACATCCTGGGTTTTCCAGAACAGTCTCTATTTCATGAACTCTTTTTCAATAAAGGCCATTTATAGCATGAAAATATAAATGTGTTTTGATTAATTTTAGGTACACATCAATACATAAACAGGAAAAACTACTGTGCTGAATAGTGAATGCTTGTCTTTGTCAAGAAAATTTAAGGATAGGGACAACCTGAGTGAATTAGCAAAAAAAAAATCTTGAGGCAGATGAAAATCTCTCTGGACAAACTGGCTCCACCAACTGACCTTTCTTAGAGTCCTGTAGCACTTAAAAAGTGGTCTTCCATGACGAATATAAATTCAAGTTAATCTCAACATGGAAGGTACTACTGTTCTCATATGTGATTTAATTATAAATTCTGTCCAAATTATTTTATTTTCAATTCATCTGAAGAGAATCCAATGTAACACTACGTGTCTAAAACTTAATTCAAAGGTATTTTTAGTCAAAATGGTAGCTTTTTTTCCTTGTCTATTGTCACATCTTTCTTCCTCGGAGTGGTTAGTGGGTTTGAATTGATGACCTTTAGTTTAACAGACTATGCTTAACCACCATACACCAGGGCTCCTTCCTTAAAAAGCATAGAAATGACATTTTTTAGTAAGTTTATATGTGTTGTTGTTAGGTGCAGTCCAGTCGGTTCCAGGACTTAAGTCTAGTTATAAATGTAGAAGTAAAAACTGGTAGTGCGGAAGTGTTTTGAGAACATTCAGCATTGTCTTGTAAAGCATCTGTCTAAGCAATGCCCCATGCAATGCCTCAGACAAAGCCTTTTTAGACACAGTTGGGTTAATCTCATTAGATCGGGGTACAGTGGATAATGGTTTTACTTGGGAGAGTCCCTTAACAGACAAACATGGAGTAATCTCTTCAGTTGTGAGTGAGAAGGCTGATTCTATTGGCAAGAGTGATTCAACAGAATTTAGGGGCTCAGTGTCTCCAGCTTCCTGATTATCTGCCCATATGTCCCCATCCCAAGTTTCAGGATCCCATTTCTTCCCAATCAATGCCCTCACTTTAACTTCAGACACCTCTCTAGGTTGGCAACTGTGTTCGCATTGTAATTCAGCCCACTCTTACAATAAGACTCTGGTTTGGTTTTCAGCAATATAAGCTCTGTCATTACAAAAGATAAGGGTTTGTTTCAAGGCACAAGTGGATACTTTGAGGTTGTTAATGCGGCACGTGAATTTTCACTCTGAAGGCTTGAGTTCATCTTTTTCTTTTGTGAGTTTGTCTAGTGAAAGTAGGACCAACCAACCAGCTTCCTTACACTTCTCATTATGAAAAAATTGTAGAGAAGTATCACATGTGCAATCACCGAGAGTCTCGCATTCACCAATACCTGATAGATTGGTGGAGATATTTTCTGTATTTGTACTGCCACCTCATGCCATGGATAAGCAGTGCTCTCTTTACTACTGGAAGCAGAGTCATCAACATCTTTAAGACTAACAGATTTGAGAACCGATTTAGAAAACTCATCCTTACAATTTTGTTTCTCTAGAACCACCCTCAGTACCAAAATGTCTTTGACTGGGTTCTCTAGAGAGGCAAAATCAGCAAAGTGTATAAATATATAGAGTAAGAGTTCTATATCAAGGAAATGACTCACTCACTTGTAGAGACTTCTCCTGATTCATGTAGCTGCAGAGGCTGGGAACCCAAGATTTGCAGGTCACTGATCAGGGCTCTTGCACACAGACTGGGGAGATTGATGAACCCCAAGACTGGCAGGCAATATTGCAGATAATCTGCAGGCTCACGTCCCAAGAACTGGAGACTAGATGAACCGGAGCCAGTTGCAGGATCCAGAGCAAGCAAAAGCCCTTGAGTCTTGCCAAAATGTCCACTTATGTTCAGTGTAGGCCATATGCCTGAAGAAACTCCCTTTCAACTGACTGGCTACACATAACAGATCTCATAATGGAGGTGATCATATTATATCAGCTCTCATCTTGGAAGTGACCTCAACATCATACAACTGCCAAACCACTGAGAATCATGGCCCAGCCAAGTTTACATACAACCTTAGCTATCACAGACACTCAATGTCCCTGCATGTGTGGAGCTTACATTCGAGTGGGAATTTACACTAGGGGAAATTCCCAGAGGATGCTATGATACAGAGCAGCTACATTAGATCTGGGGTCAGGGAAGACCTCTCTGAGAAGGTGACCTTTAAGCTGCAATCTGATGATCAAGAAGGAGTGGGCATTGCTAAGGTAAATGGGAAGGGCAGTCAGGGCAGAAGGAACAGCCAGTGCAAAGGGTTTAAGCTGGGAATAAATTCTGAGTGTTCCACAGAGTAGAAAGAAGTCTTTTGTGGTAGAAGTGTAGCGGTCCCACAGAGTAGAAAGAAGTCCTCTGTGGTAGAAGTGTAGTGGTCAAGGGGAAAGTGGGATTCTATGACTTCAGATAAGCTGATGGTGGCCTGATGACTTCAGGATTTGTTGGTCAGGGTGAAGAATTGGCTTTTATTCATAGTGTTGATGAGGGACCAATTGGATGGACACAAATATACTATAAATAAGTGGATAGATTAATAAACAAGATACTCTCAGATATACATGAATTCTTTACAAGAAAAAAAGCCAAATGAATGAGATACTTTCAGATTATCACCAAAAGCCAGTCTGTTAATAGAATCTTCCCATATCATCTTGTGTTTATCTGTTTCTGTCCTATTTTTGCACGTTAACATTTAGCTTCCTTTGTTAAGTCTCTGCTTTTTCAACAGATATAAAATTGCCACACACAGGTTGCCATGCTTCTGCTCTTTCTATTGAGTGGCATCTGTGTAAAAGTATATATTTCTAAATAGGAGTTCTAGCCATGAATGTCACTCATCAAATTATTGTGACATCTTTGAGACTCTTGGAGACCTGGTGGGGCAGTGGTTAAGAGATTAGCTGCTAACCAAAAAGTCAACAGTTTGAATACACCTGTTGCTCCTTGAAAAACCCCATCAGGTATTTCTACTCTGTCCTGTAGGGTCTCTATGAGTCAAAATAGACTAAAGGGCAATGTGGTTACAAAACTTTACTTTGATTACTTATTTAACTGCGGAAAATTTAAATGTTTTGCACTGTTAGTTTTATTTTATTCAGCTAATACAATTAGATGTAGAAGGAAGGAAGGTGGGAGAGGTCTAGGGCATAAGGTATAGTATTTCAAGAAATCAAAGAGCATTATTTGGGGACTTAGCTGGGTGTATTTTAGAAAGGAGAGGCCAGGAGGATGACGGGGAAAGAAAATAGTCTAAAAAGATATTGAACAGACAAGAAGTTACCATAGCTTGAAGGGCCAAGCAAGTCATGGAAAGAGTTTACATTTCATTCCAGGAGAAAATGGGTTTGTTGGAAGGAAAGGTATAGAAAAGACCACATTTTCTTCTTTGTGGAGAGGAAAATTAAACACTATACTTAATTAAAGAAAAAAATGTTGTAGCTCTTACTAAGTTGGCCCTTGAATTATGATGATCCCATTCACAGCATGAGTCAACACTGCCTGGTCCTCCAGCATCCCCATGATTGGTTGGGCATCTGAAACTTATGATCCACACTCTTTTCATTAACTGAGTTTTGGAAGTAGACTGCAGGCCTTTCTTCCTAGTCTCTCTTAGTCTAGAAACATTGCTGAAGCCTATTCAGGATAGATTTTGAAGGCATTGACAAAAAACAAGGCTTCAAGAATTGACAAAATACCAACTGAGATGTTTCAACACACAGATGCAGCACTGGAAGTACTCACTTGTCTATGCAAAGATACTTGTAATTTAGCTACCTGGAAAACTGACTAGAAGAGACCCGTATTTACACTTATTTCCAAGAAAGGAGAGCCAATCGAATGTGGAAATTATGGAACAATATCTTTAATATCACATGTAAGTAAAATTTGCTGAAGATCATTCAAAAGCAGCTGCAGCAGCATATTGACAGAGAGCTGCCCAAAGTTCAAGCTGGATTCAGAAGAGGGCATGGAACCATGGATAGCAATGCTGATGCCAGATGGAATCCTGACTGAAAGCAGAGAATACCAGAAAGATGTTTACCTGTGTTTTATTGACTGTGCAAAGGCATTCCACTGTGGGGATCATAACAAGTTATGTATAACATTGCAAAGAATGGGAATTCCAGAACACTTTATTGTGCTCATGAGGAAACTGTATGTAGATCAAGAGGCGGTTATTTGGACAGAACAAGGTGATACTGTGTGTTATAACGTCAGGAAAGGTGTGCAACAGGGTTATATCCATTCTTCACACTTATTCAATCTGTATGCTGAACAAATAGTCCCAGAATCTAGACTATATGAAGAAGACCATGGCATCAGGATTGGAGGAATTCTCACTAATAACCTGCATTATGCAGATGATACAACCTTGCTTGCTGAAAGTAAAGAGGACTTGAAGCACTTACTGATGATGAACAAAGACCACAGACTTCAGTATGGATCACACCTCAACATAAAGAAAGCAAAAATCCTCACAACTGGGCTAATAAGCAACATCATGATAAACAGGGAAAAGTTTGAAGTTGTCAAGGATTTCATTTTACTTGGATCCACAGTCAACACACATAGAAGCAGCAGTCAGGAAATCAGAAGACGCACTGCATTGGGGAAATCGTCTGCAAAAGACCTCTTTAAAGTGTTAGAAATCAAAGATGTCTCTCTGGGGACTAAGGTGTGCCTTACCCAAGCCA